TTGCTGGAATTAAAGCCCCAGCAGTGTCACCTGATTCCCCTGCAGGAAGTGAAGTTCTGCTGATTGATTTAAAGATTCTATTCCAGATCCCATAGGTCTCCTATCTAATCAAAGAGGACGTCCAATTGCATTTTTTTGATAGTGATACCTCGTCTTTAGCTATATAACACCCTAGAGCAGTGTTTCCCAACCTTTTTTAGTCACGGCACCCTTTGGAAATTTTAACAAACTTGTGGCACCCTACAAAATTAATTTTGTCACAATATTTGAATTTCTAACTTCGATATGATAATTTGAAAAGTGTAGATATTCGGTACAACAGGGAAGAACTGCAGAATATAATGTCATACAGATATTTTTAATATTATAAAAAAAAAATTGTCCATCAATGGTGATAATCAGTAGGCTAATTTCTAATGAAGAGACCAATTTATATGATAGGTCTTAATGTAGGCTTTTATACATATGTAAACATTATTTAATTACCATTATAACTAGCAATCTCACACATTTTTGCTCACTCAGTGTTTTTTTTATTTTACAGTGGGGTACTTTTGGTGCAGTAGCACGAGATAGCTTGATTTCAAACTTTGAATTGAATAAAAAATGACAAGTAAGCAGTCAGTAATAAAATAAGAAATAAAGAAATTAATAATGATAGCACAAATTAAAAATAACGACAGGCCTTCGAATTAAATAAATTGCTTTGCTGTTCCGATGAGCATGAACGGTATACGAGTGGAGCTGAGCAGAGCGCACATGCATAGAGCGGGATAATACGCAGAGCGTCACACCACGTGAAAGTAAATCCTGAGCGGTGAACTAATTTTCGGCAGCCGAAATTTCGGTGCATCTCTAATTATTGGCGACATCAGAAATGGATATTATATAATAGATGCTTTTTTGAACATTTTAGCAATTTAAAAATATTAAAAAAGGATTTTTTTACACGGCACCGCGGTTGGGAAACACTGCCCTAGAGATCAGAGATAAGAGCTTACCTTGGTAGATCTGAATTAAGATAGACATTATTGGGAATACTATGAGGTCTGTGTATAAAATGCATTATAAAGCTATTCACAATGCCTTATTCTTCTCAATTTAAGCCTATATTATATCATATCATATCATATATCGTATATTATATTATATTATATTACTTGTTTACAATAATTATAAGCTGTTTTGTTGCATTATGAATGCGTTAAGGATACCTTTTACTATATTTTCTATATAGTAAAAAAGTACAGTCTAGCATGTCTTACTGCTTTTATAAAATAAACTACTTTTTTGTCAAAAAGTTACTGATATGTTAATCCATTTTAACATATAATAATAATAAAAGAAGAAGAATTTTATAAACATATATTATAATAATCATAATAATTATAAGCTGTAATATAAATATTTTATAAATATATTTTGTAAATATGTAATATTTTTATATTAAAAATATTAATGTTAATTTTTTTATTTTATTGAACAAATTCTGTCTTATTTTGGAACATTGTATGTTAACAGAATGCAATGCAGTGGCAGTATGTGAACAGGTGTTTCACTTCGTAACTCTTACTGTATTGTATATTTTGTATTATGTATTGACCATCCAGGACATCCAGGACCGTAATATAATGCATTATACATACATGCTTCATAGGAAGTTTTATTGAAATCTTCTGTAAGTTTAAGTGGGTTTATACTGTGAAGGTGCTCTACATGCATCAGAACACTTGATCTGTCTTCTGCAGTGAATGACTAAAGTTCCTGGAGAGATGATGAGAGAATGTGTTCATTTGTTACAGTCTTTGTTTATTGCATTAATTAGACGACAGCAAATGAAGCCGTTTCTGCAGCTCCTCATTGGCTGCTCGTACTGCGCAATTACGCTTAGTCGATCACAGAATAAATGATTCATGGAAGATGAATAGGTGGCATATTGGTTAGGCCTTGAACTCATGGAAACTGATGATCATGCTTTAATTCTCTTATACTTTTTTTTCTTAATTAATTTTTTACTTTATCTTTTATCTACCACTTTACATGTTTTTTTTTTCTTTCTTAACCTCCCAGTTCCTTCATTTTCTTCTGCCATTTCTCTTTTCTTTTCTTTTTTCTCCTTTCCTTTCCTTGTATATATATTGCATATATTTAAAATTATATAATATATACATAAAATCAAAAAGTCATGTGTAACATTACCTACTTTTCTTTCCTAGATGCATTCTTTCTTCTGTCCTTTTTTTCAAGGCACTTTCTTCCTTCCCTTCCTTTCTTTCAGATCTATATGTTTATATGAACATGTTTGTGAGTATATTAGATTTTCATTGTGCTCAAAGTAAGCGCCAGCATCTTCCAGCCAATGTAAATCTGAAAAGTAAATGCATGTTTCAGCATGCCTTAAGCGTAATTTAATGTGCAGGCCTTTAGTTGGGTCTCTCTCTCTCCCGGTCCTGTCTTTCTGGAGGGCGTGTGGGCCTGTAAAGCCCGGCTGATTTATGAAGTAGGATTGGGATTAATATTGCTCACTCGACTTGTTTACGACGATCCTCACAGACACGCTGCGAGGTTGTATTTCACAGTTGCTCGCGTGTCTAGGAGCGTGGCAGGGAAAAATGGAGCCAAATCAAATCTCTTTGGTCTCAAGGCCACAGTGCGCTCTCGCTGTCTGAGGAGAGGGATTCAGGGCTGGGATGAGGCCCCTGGCCCCGCTCCCGGTGATTTGCAGAGCAGAAATATGCCCGCTAAAACGATATTTCTCAATTTAATCATCTCGCACTGGAGAAGATGAATGCAAGGACAGAGCCACCGTTACCACAGTCAACATCATCATCACCCACACTTACAAATGATCCCTGTGAGGACTGGCTGGAACACTATGCATGTGTGTGTGGTTGTTTACCTGAGAAATCAAAGTCAAACTCATGAAACATCCATTTTTCTCTGGTGAGCTCAATTTACCAGCTCTTCAGTTTGAAGGAAATTGCATTCCCTATAGTAAAACTTTACTGTGTAGGCTATTTTAACATTTTTGGTTACACTTTATTTTACAGTACCTGTACTTAGAGTGTACTTATCCAAGAAAGTACTGGGTAGTATAAGAAAGTATACATGGGCATTTGTATATATTAATGAATAATTAACTAAATATATATATATATATATGTGAAAAAAAAATTCATACATGTATGGAAAAAATATTTTTTTGGGGGGCTTGCTGTTACTTATCAGAATTTGATTTGATTGTGAAATATAAGACTATGATATTATTGGTTAATATTCCCTGCCCACGTAAAATGTCAGATATGAAGGAAATTCAGAAGAAAGTTTGTTTCAGAGTTGGAGAAATTGAAGTAAGCCCATTTCTGCCTTAGAGGGATAAAATGTAATATATATATTTTTTTATAAATTTATATTATATTTTATATAAAAAATTAAATATTAAAAAAAAAAGAAAATAAGAAATCATACATAGTCACAGTTATGAGACAAAGTCGCAATTACTTTTTTCTTACTTTGGAGCAGATACGGACTTCTATATGACGAAACATGATGAAAGAAGGAAACGTCTCGGTTACGTATGGTAACCCTCGTTCCC